CCCCGCCCCCGGCCTCACCCTCCCGCAGGTCCCAGGCGGAGCCAGGCAGGGGCGGGCACCCGGGGCGGCGCGGCGAGTCCCGCCCGGACCTCTGCATCGGTCATCGAAGGGGCGCGCGGGGCCGCCAGGGAGAATCCGGCCCCGGGATGTCTCGGACTGGGGCTTGGGGAGAATTACGGAGGAAAGGCGCATAGCACAGGTCGGCACATGGCGTAAATGCGCAGCAAGGGTGCTCTGTTGAGATACTACTACCTGCAGCCCCCTCCCAGCACTCACCTGGGCGTCCGAAAGGAGCAGAAGACTTGGGGGAGGGGGAGGGGGCTGAAGTGATATAAAACATTTTAAAGCTAGGAAACTTGGCCCTCCTGATTCCCCTCGAAATCAGCTCTCTGCAATCCCACCACCACCGCTGCCACCATAGTCGGGAAACTGAGGCCGTCAGAGATTTGCGCAAGACACTGGAATGGTGGGGGAGGGCAGCGAGGCCGCAACTGTGTCTGAGCCCGCCCCTCACCCCATACCCTTCCCGCCTCAGGCTTCCCCTCTGTTCCTGGGTAATAAGCCCCTCCCAGGGACCGCAGGAGGCGGGGAAGACATACACAGTAGGCGCTCAGTATTTAAAAGAGATGACAATCGTGGCACACATCTGTTCCCCATGGTCCCTGCCGCTAGCCCTACCGAATTAATTAGTCACCAATTTCTGTTGCGTACAGAGTCATAAATACTTCTGAGAGTGGAACCCTAGATCCCTCCATCTCCACCGCCAAGCTCTAGTAAAAATAATGGCAACTAAGGCGATGTCACGTCTCACTCGCTATAGTGTGCTAAGGGCACCAGGACTATGGTCTTACAACCTCAGACCCCTGGTGTCCCCATTTCACAGGAATAAACTGAGGATCAGAAAAGCTAAGCACTGAAAATTAAGGGAGCCCAGATTCCAGTTATTTTCTACATGGTTCCAAACCTCTGTCTGTCTCCTACAAAAACCTGAGGCATCAGACCATCCACCTGCCATGCTCTGAGGTCGTTGTCTCCCCTCTGGAGTGAGCTCCTTAAGGCAAGGCCTGGGCTTCTCCTCTTGAACGCCCAGCATGGCCCTGCCTGACCCAGAATAGTTGTTCAATTAAGGTATGCCCATGTCATACTCTCCAAAACGTGGAGTAAAAAACATTTTCTTTCTTCTAAGGGCTCCCATCGGCAATGGGGGATAAAATATCCCATATAAATCCAGCAGAGA